CTAGGCCGCCATGGGGCGCAGCCAAGGGGTCATGGGGCGTGTCTGGAAAGCAGCCCATGACATATAGCACAAAATCACTTGGTAATAAATAATGACTCCAATGCTGCAACACACGAACAATAGCATAGAACTCTTTTTCATAGGTGGAGTACTTCAATTTAGATCCACTTAGCTTCTCGTTAAAATAAGCCACGAGTTTACCTTCCTGGCTAAGAACTCCTCCGACACCAACACNAAAGCAAACATTGTTAGTATAAAAGATGCACTTCTTGAGTTGTGCATATAGCTTCTCTCTCCTTAAGGTTTCAAAAACCTTCTCCAAATGCTTTCCATGTTCAACTTCCTCTTTGCTATAAATTAGGATATCATCAAAGTAGACAACAACAAACTTCCCAATGAATGGTCTAAACACATGAGTCATAAGCCTCATGAATGTACTAAAAGCATTCGACAAACCAAAAGACATTACCAACCATTCATACAAGCCTTGGCTAGTCTTGAAGGCAGTCTTCCATTCATCACCTTCTCTCATACGAATCTGGTGGTACCCACTCTTCAAATCAATCTTTGAAAAGATCTTAGAACCATGTAATTGGTCAAATAGATCATCTAACCTTGGGATTGGGAAGCGATACTTGATAGTGATTTTGTTGATTGCTCGACTGTCAACACACATCCTCCAAGTGCCATTTTTCTTAGGAACAAGCAAAGCAGGCACGACACATGAACTAAGGCTCTCCCTTATTAAACCCCTCTCAAATAGCTCTTCGACTTGCCTTTAGAGTTCAGCTTGTTGTGTAGGATTCATCCTATAAGCTGCTTTGTTTGGCAACAATGCTCCGGGTATAAGGTCAATTTGATGTTGAATATCGCGCATGGGTGGAAGTTCTAATGGAACATCTACCGAGATCACACTTAAACTTAGCAAGTAACTTCTTGGCTCGTGTATCTAACTCATGCTCCTCATCTTGTGAGTCTTCCATGGCTACTGCTATGTACAATGGCTCTCCTTTATTGATGTGGCCAATAATCTGTGATGTGGTCATTAGCGTATCAGACATGGTTTTTGCCTTCTTTGAAAGTTCTTTTGGGTGCAATGGTGTCAAAATGATCTTATGTCCATCAATTATGAATGAATAGGTGTTACGGTATCCATCATAAAAAGCACGCTTATCATATTGCCATGGTCTTCCAAGTAATAAAAGGCAAGCATTCATCTTTACCGCATCACACCAAATTTGGCTTTTATAGATCTTACCAATAGAAAAAGAGACCAATCATCTTTTAGTGACTTTCATACCTCCACCATATTGCAGCCACCCGACTTTGTAAGGTTTGGGGTGTACCTCAGTTTCCAAATCCAATTTAGTCACCATTTCTTCTGAAACAACATTAGTGCAACTTCCACCATCGATTATCACTGAACATACCTTGCCATGTGATGTACACCTAGTGTGGAGAAGGGCCTCTCGTTGCGATGATTCTTCATCTTTATGTTCAGCATGTAAGATCCTCTGAATAACAAGCATATCACCTTCATCAGGTTCTACATAGGCATCCTCATCTTCCTCAATTAGCTGGTTGTCTTCGTGACTGGAATCATTTTCTTCATCAACTAACATAACAGCCTTTCGGTTGGGACAATCAGCTTGCACATGACCAAAACCTTGGCACTTAAAACATCTTCTCCTAGTCATATCCCCTGAGGTTTCTTTTCATCACCCTTTGAAGATGAATTAGAAGAATTACCTCTATAAATGGCCTTGGAATTTCCACCACTACCACTACTGGTACTCCCTTGGTTGGGGTAATTCTTCTTGGAGTATAATTTCTTTGGCTCCTTTTGTTGTTGCTCGATGTTGATGGCAAACTTTCGTACATCAATGAATGTCCAAGAAGGTTGTAAGGGAATAACATCGGAGATGGCACGCCTTAAGCCACCAATATATCTTGCTTTAGTCTGTTCCTCAGGTTCTCGGGTATCACACTTAATCATGAGGTATTCAAACTCTCGAGTATAGTCTTCTACGGTCTGGTCTCCTTGGCGAAAGTTATGAAATTTAAGATAATTCTCTTGTTTGTACGTATAAGGAAGAAAACGTCTTCAAAGTTCTCTCTTCATCTTCTCCCAAGTTCGAATCTTACCACAACCTTCTCTTTCTCTTTCTCGCTTCAAATTGTCCCACCAAAGTGAAGCATATCCCTTAAACTTGATGGCAACGATCTTAACCTTTTTCTCCTCAAATAATCCTTGAACTCAAAGATTCGTTCAACGGTCAATAACCACTCCATAAACGCATCCCCTTGTGCTTTTCCATCAAAATCAGGAACATCAACCTTCACATCATCCCTTTTCTCTCGAGTATGGTTCCTCCTTCTCCTTGGGCGATCAGATTCATCGTCTCGTTGTCTCCTAGAAGGATCCGAATTTTCACTAGAGTCATCTCCATCAGCCATATGAAAAGGGTTAATATCAGAGTCCCCTTCATCATCTTCCTTGGGCCTTCTACGTCGTTCTTGCCTTTCGTAGTGTTGGAGTTGCCTCTGTAGTTGTTCAATTGTCCTTCTCATCTCTTCCATCTCCATGTCACGATCGGATGTTCTTCTTTCACCTTCTTGAACCCAACGACCGTTTCTTGCTTGCATATTAGGTTCACCACCTGCTGCTCTGATACCAAATTGATGTGATTCTTCGAGTTAACAAAGAAACAACCGACCAGGATCAAGATCTTGAATTGAAAAGTGGTTTGTGGGCTGGTTTCAAATAACAACGTATCTCAAGTTTTAGGACTCAGAATCTAATGATTCAAAAACGAGGTGAAAGATGACGATCTGAACTATAGAAAAGACTATTTACTCGTTCAAAACAAGTAAATAACGATGCTGCACCAATTTAATGAGAGATAAGATTATATGACATCAAAAGAATGAATTTAGATCAAGAAACGTGTTCTTGAAAGATCAAGAACTAAACAAGTTCCTACAGTCACTACTTGGAATCAATTAACGTGATAAAGAAACACCACACACAATTGAAAACAAGATAAAGACAATCACCACCTTGCTTGAAACCAAAAACAAGGATAAAGAAGACAAAATAGAGAAAAACACTGTATTGTAAAGCTAGGCAAACCTTAAAAGCGTGAATTGCATTCTACAAGGCAAGAGAACCCTTTATATAGGCCTAGAGTCTCTTCTTTGATGACTACAATTCCTATTCTAATAAGGAAATAAAATAACTAGACAAGGAAAGTAAAATCCCTATTTTATAAGGAAAAGAAACTAGAATCCTACTAAAGGAAAATCCTTATTCTAAAAGGAATAAATTAAATCCTATTTTAAGAAGGAAAGGGCATTGACTTCTTGAAATCAATCTTGGGCCTTTTGAACTTGAAGACACGTCCACACACCTATCCGCGGGCATATAAGAACTTGTTTTTGACGAGCTAAATAACAAAATGCTAATATAGCTTCTTGATTTGCATCAACAATGTAGTTTTGTCCTTGTATATCTACTATAAAATTCAGACTTAGATAAGAAGCCAACATAACTCCTTTTACAAAAACAAGAAAAGGCTTCCTTAGCTCGAATATTTGCATCATATATATGCCCAGATTAAGGTCCACTAGAAAAAAGAAAAACTAAAGCCAAGTGAAATATGGACATTTAAAATAAGAATTCACGTTTCGCGAGCTTGTATATTACTCAGTAAAGCTGCTTTTTTCAGAAAACATTCACTACTAGGATATTCGTTAATTTGTTGGAGACTGTAGAAAGAGAACATCTGTTATTGCTAATATATATATATATATATATATATATATCAACATTTTTATTGTCAGATCAAAATGAACATATCTTAAATCCAAGAAAATGGTTGATAACTAAAACTAACATAACTTACCGAAGACTACGAAAGACAGACTAAGGTAAAGCCATGCCTTTAGAGAACTCATAAACATAAAAAGAAGATTGGTATGACTATTAAAGTCAACACAACGTACTTGAGACATCCAGCTCTTTCACCTCATTTGAAAAGGCACAGTTGTCACACATTCCTGAGCAAGATGAAGGTCAAGTGAAGTTGTGGTGCTCTTCTGGCTATTGTGACAAGTTAACATCAGAATCCACTTACGAAGTTAGTGAACCATACCGTTACATTCTTGTAAAGACTCAGCAAAATGTCGGAAGAAAGCACTTCGACGGCACTCTCTTTTAGACTGCAACAAAAAGATATTTATTCCTCTAGCTGATTGTAAACAATAAACTGTTTACTCATGAGCACTAGTAGAAATTGAGTTCCGGGTTCCCTATAACTTGGGAGCAATGGCTCTTATCGAGCAAAATTATAAAACCGGTGTACTTGTTATAGCAACTGTCACTTACTGGTTAAATAATGTCAGTACATACAACTACGGATTAAGCAATCAAGAACCGTCATTCCTATTTTGACAGGAATGGAAAACCAGCATAATATCAGAGCAAACTCTCTTGCTTTCCCAAACCAACTAGTCAGCAACTTTCGAATTTCGAGAGTCAAACGAGTTTTTCTTTGACCAGATTTTTGCATTTACCTTTTAAATATTTTGAGATTTATAGTACTTTTATGTAGTTTCCAAATATGTAAGTTTTATTTCAAAAAACTTAATGATTTTCTATGGCCAAATTTGCGGTCAAAATTGAGAAGTTTGGCTCTCGAAATCCTAACTGCATCAAACAAATTGGGACGGAGGGAGTATTCAATTACAGCTTAAAAAAGATGTATTCAGGAGCCAGGTACTCTAAGAGCATCTCACATCAAAATGGTATGCAAGTTTATAGCAGAAGCTGGAAAGCTGGCAGGAATAATCTTTCTCATTCATTTACAAAGTTTGTACTTATCCTGATTATACTATAGTGGCTTGGAATGGAAATTGTTCATGAAATTTGTACAAACTTTGTAGCTCTCAGTTTGAGTGTATAGCATAAACAAACTGATTTGATTAATTATAACCGTTTACCCTTCTCTACAGGGCTTTATTTATGCTTCAATATGGAGTATCACTCCCTTATTTTGATGGAATGAGAGGAATAGGAGATATTTAGATGGAATAGCAACTCCAAAACTTTCCCCTAGCGCTAAATGTCTTTTATTTTTGTACAGCTGAAGTACTCTTACCCCTGTAAACTTCCCTGACAATTTTTGGACTTTGTTAGTACTGGAGCTAGCAAACTGTTTTGTATTTCTTTTTTGCATCTTCTTGATGCCATTTATAAATCTTTTCATCAAAAAATATTGCTTCAATATGGAGCCTTTTTCATATTCTAAGTTTTTCTCCCCATCATATTCTAAGTTTTTCTCCCCATCATATTCTAAGTTTGACACCGAGCTTTTTATTGGTTAATGATTGTAGGAGATCAATAAACTGGCACAAAGGAGGTCCATCCATGCATAGTAGCAGAAACAAAAGGAAGAGACTGCATCAATCTATATAAAGCTTATGTCTTCTTGAGAAGGGAAGAATTCAGCATGACCAGTATGGTATAATTCAGAAGATGACAAAACGAATTAAGCTAAAAACATAGTTGAAAATAGTAAATGGCATTACTTCTTTCAAAATATTGTTTGAATGGGCATAGCTAATATATTATTAGATTGAATGTTCAAAAGGAATACTATGTGGAAGGAAAGTTCTTGGGGGAAGGTAGGGGAATTGCCTACAGTGTATCTGGGGATGCCATTGGGTGCCAAGAGCAAATCAAAAGGAATATGGAATGATGTACCGGAGAAATGTGAAAAGAAACTAGCTAACCGGAAGAAACAATATCTGTCAACGGGGGGAAGGTTGATCTTGATTAACTCTGTACTTGATGCCATGCCTACATATATGATGTCATTATTTCCAATTCCAGCCAGTGTAGTGAACAAAATTGATGCCCTAAGAAGAAACTTCCTATGGGAAGGTAACTGTGAGAAAAAGAAGTTTCACTTGGTCAAGCGGGGTGATCTAATTACAAGCAAGAAGTCAGGTGGTTTGGGGATCAAAAGTTTGAGAGTCCAGAATCAGAGCTTGATGATGAAGTGGCTGTGGAAACTGTGGACAGAAGGGGTTAGGGAAAAATATGGAATGGAAGGAAACTGGACAACTAAAAGTGTAAGAAGGTCATATGGAGTCAATCTGTGGAGATCAATTAGAAATCTATGGCCAAAATTGATCAACAAAGCAAAATTCAAAGTTGGAAATGGTAGGAAGATCTCACTATGGGAGGACAACTGGCTAGGACAAGGACCTCTGAAGGGGCTCTTTCTTGACATTTATATTTTGTGTCAACAATAGAATGCAACAATAAAAGAGATATGGACAGACCAAGGCTAGAACCTCACATTCAGAAGGATGTTAAATGACTGGGAGATTGACAGAGTTGTGGAGTTCTACAGTTCTTTGAAGCAGTTCAGTGGTATCAACTCAAACCAAGATCAAGACCTAATCAAGTGGCAAGGCAATAGTCAAGGGAAGTTTTCTGTTAAGGCTGCCTACAAGGAGTTTAATGTATCCAATAATCAGGTGGATTGCCGGCCATGAAAGATGAATTGGAAAGTTAAAATCCCATACAAGGTGGCCTGCTTCCCATGGTTACTGGCAAGAGAAGCAGTTCTAACACAGGACAATTTAACTAGAAGAGGATTCCAATTATGTTCCAAATGCTACTTATGTGGAGAGAAGGCAGAGACAATTAACCATCTTTTTCTGCATTGCAAGTTCACTATATAGATATGGAGAATTTTCATCAGTTTGAGGGGAATTCAATAGGCAATGCCAGGAAGAGTCCTTGATATTCTAGCCAGCTGGAGTAAAGAGGGCACACTATCTAGAGAAAGAGAGATGGAGGATTGTCCCAGCCTGCATATGGTGGACAGTTTGGGAAGAGAAGAATCAAAAATGTTTTGAAGATAAGTCAAGCAATATTCAGAAGATAAAGATGAAATGTTTAGCTCTTTTCTATTTTTGGTGTAAAGGAAAGTTTTTTGAGGATCATGAATCCATTTTAAATGTACTAGAGTCCTTATAGGAAGACCAAGGACTAGAAGTGTCTTTCCTTTTTTTTTTGCTAGGGCACTTTCATTGTAATTATGGGTGGCTTCACAATTTTAGTGAAGTTTTATATTAATATACAATTATGTTACCTTCTAAAAAAAAAAAGGAATACTATGTGAATTTAGAAGTATCTAGAGATTTCGTATTAGCCTTGAGTGCTCACGAATAACAAAAAGCAATATAAGAGCCCGTTTGGCCAAGCTGCCAAAATCTGCTTATTTTAAAAAGTACTTTTTTCAAAAGTACTTTTTTCAAAAGTACTTTTTTCGGAAGTACTTTTGAAAAAAAATAATCTGTGTTTGGCCAATTCATTTAAGAAGTACCTTTTGCAACATTTGGTAAACAAATTGTGTTTGGCCAATCTTCCTAAAAAGTGCTTTTGAGTGTCAAATTACCAAAAAGGATAGTACCAAGGTCTTATAATTATTTTAAAGAGAAAAATAAATTTAAATATTTATTCTAAGAGACTTTAATTGTTTTTTATTTTATTTAATTAAAATATAAAATATAAAGTAAACAAACATAATAAAGATTCAATTATATATATATATATAGTTATACCAAATTATATGATATTATCTAGTATAATTACTTATTGTTACACAATGATTTGAAATCAAAATACATCATTTAGCATGAATTAGAAGTCTATTCCACAAATTACTATATATTGATAATCTACCATGAAATAATAAATAAAGTAACTCTCACATGATAATATTTTTCAACAATTTCATCTCTGCTTCTATCACATAATGCTTCCATATTAGTAGAAGACATGCCTTGCATTTCTAAAGGGATATCAGAATACCCATCTCCTTCCTCAATCTTTGCAGTAATGTCTTCATAGCATAATAGTTGAATTCCTTATCGGTAGAAGAATATCGTCTGATGAAATTATGTATAGCCATGGTAGTTGTAACTAGATGATTCTGAGTGACAATGTAACACCCCAGACTGTAGACAGAGTCTCACATCGGCAAAACACAAGAGAGATGCTGGGTATATAAGTTAACAAGCCTGAGACCCTAGTGACGCGTTTTAAATCCGTGAGGGCCTAGGCCCAAAGCGGACAATATCACTAGCGGGCTGGGCTGTTACAGACAAACTTGAAATATGGCATTAAGCGTAAAATAAAAATAATTTTAAAGAGTAACTAATTATTAGCAACACATAATGTGTAATTTAACTTTTTTAAAATTTAAATTAGAAACTAATTATTACCTAATCTAACCAACTTTGTCGTAAATTGCCTAGCGACCTATTGTGAGACTGCCACTTGGCATAATGTGGATGTTTTTTTCTTCATCTTTTAATAATATATTGATAGATTATGCAATGAAATTGTAAATTAATTACCTATTTGTAGGTAATTTTCACAAATTAGATTTGATAACTGTTTTAAAGATTCAAGAACTAATAGCCTATAACAGAAGCAATTATAAATGATTATTTGTAGGAAGATAATTGATAATCCAAAGTAGGAGGTAGATAATTTGTTGTAATGTGAAGAAAGAAGAAGATAATTCGAAAAGTTACAAGACATTACACCCAAAAAAAATCAAAAACAAGAAAAGTCAATGAAAATTTGAAAAGTTACAATGTGATTCATGTATATGATATCTTTAAATTTAAGAGAATGATAAAAATCAGAAACAAATATGAAAAAAAAGCTTAAATTAGTAAGGGATAATCTAAAAAGTATAAATTTTAAGGTGAGGATAGTTTTGTCTTGAATAAATTAATTTTTTGCTTCTGCTTTTTGGAAGAAGCTAGAATTTTCTGCTTCTTCCCAAAAGCAGAAAAACTGCTTCTGTTGCTGGCCAAAAGTACTTATTTATCTTGGCCAAACAACTTAAATTTTTAAAAAAGTACTTTTTTGGGGGAAAAAAGTACTTTTGGCCTTCCAGAAGCTTGGCCAAACAGGCTCTAAGTAAAGTTCCCTAGATTTAAAAAAAAAAAGGTTAGCTGGGTAGTTCTATTATGATGGAAATTTTCACATTAAATGTGCAAATACATGATTGTGACTAGAAGTCCTGAAACAGAAAAGAGGTATTAAGTTTTGTCACATGAATCCTACTGGCAATTCTTCAACAGTCAACTTAGGAGGAAGCCATACAGAAACTAAAGCAGTACAAGAGTAGGCACAAAAGATGTTTATCATCTAAAATGTCCTCCTCATATTTGGACATGGTGAGGGTTTTAGCCTTTAGGTAATCAGATGATATCGTAAGGTGACCTTCAAACATTACTAAGAAATTACATCACTTTTCCTTTCCATACCAGCAAAATCTTCTGCTTATTTGCACATTTTACACGGCATATTGATTGTTTATAATTGTATAATTCTCAATTTATATAGGCTTATCCACGTACATTAGTTGTTTTTGGAGAAGAAACTACTGATAATATTCTAAGCAGGAATAAGCTGTTGCTATATCCCTTGAGTGAGATTATCTTACTAATGGATTCTTTTTAATCGCAAGCAGATAAGATAACTAAAAGCTATGCATTATTGCATTTGCATGGAATCAGAATGACATCAATATAGACAACACAACCACTAATATGAAAAAATTCTCAACAGCCAACATTATAGCCAACGAAGTAAAAATGGCACAGAAAACATCAAAGCGAAGAGTTGAGGAGCCATACCTGACAATAACGTACTATGTCATACAGATTTTTCAATCCAGAATTCTCGTAGAAGACCATAGAACTCTGCCCAAAAACCACAACAGCCACAAATTACATCATCTTGCACTGAAACATTAACAGCATCAGTCCAAACAAATTCTACCTGCCTAGGAACATCAGCAGGTCTAAAGAAAAGAACACATTCAGAAGGAAGTCCATCCCTACCAGCTCGACCACTTTCCTGTACAAAGACAGTTAGACAAAGAAAGCCTATATCATGCAACATAAGCTTGGGGTAGGGAATTAGGACCTGGTAGTAAGTCTCCATTGATTTGCTCAAGCTGTGATGGACGACAAATCTGACTATGAATTAGTAGGACTGAGTTTACCATATCAGAGCAGAATACCTCTATGAAATAACAAACTAATAGAACAAGCAATATTTACTATTATGTTCTGCTCGCCATAAAGTAGAAAAGGAAATTGATCTAAGAAGTTTAGGGATAATTTTGTTTCACAAGTAAAGAGGCTTAAAAATATTATTAGGGCACTACTAGAAAAGAACTCCTCCTGTTTCTTGAAAGAAGAGAACTAGGTGAGAAACAGACACAGAATTCCACCCATGGTCCCTCAATCTTATGAGGATACTGTTAAAGAACGGAAAGACCATCTCCAATAGCTGCTTCTAAATGTCTTAGATGGATAAGAAATTTATGGGGTCTGGGGAGGGTAATGTGTATGAGACCTTACCCCTACTCCGTAGGAGTAGAGAGGCTGTTTCCGATAGACCCTCGGCTCATGACGATGAAAAGAGACAGTGGAGCATTAACACCAAAGGAAGCCAGAAAGATAACACTAGCAACGTAATAACCAAAAAATAGAAAGAAAAGCAATAACAATAAGCAGTAACAATGGCACCGTACTACAAACACAACGGAAGAAATAAGGACACAACAAAAGCCACTAACATCCTAACACAAAACACTATCAAATAGCCTCCTACAACCTAACTGCGACCCTAATGAAGTAGTATGGACACCACAGGAGCTACTAGCAGCCTAAGACAAAACACTATCAGACTAGCTACCTACCTCCTAACCTACAACCTTAATGCTCGACCTCCACAGTTTCCTATCAAGGGTCATGTCCTCGGAAATCTGAAGTCGCGTCATGTCCTGCCTGATCATCTCTCCCCAATACTTCTTAGGCCGCCCTCTACCTTTTCTCATGCCTGTCAAGGCCTGCCGTTCACACCTCCTTACCGGGACATCCAAGCTTCTCCTCTGCACGTGCCCGAACCATCTAAACCTAGCTTCCCGCATCTTGTCTTCTTCAATGGAAGCCACGCCTACCTTCACCCGGATATCTTCATTCCTAATCCTATCCAGCCTAGTGCCCCTCCATTCATCTCAACATCCTCATTTCTACAACTTTCATCTTCTGGATATGAGAGTTCTTGACTGGTCAACACTCTGTACCATACAACATGGACGGTCTAACCACCGCTTTGAAGAACTTACCTTTAAGTTTCGGAGGCACCTTCCTATCACACAAGACACCAGACGCTAGCCTCCATTTCATCCACCCTACCCTTATACGGTGCGTGACATACTCATCAATCTCCCCATCCCCTTGGATAACCGACCTCGGGTACCTAAAGCTCTCTTTCTTGGGGATGACTTGAGACGCAGCCTCACGTCCATGCCCGCTTCTACCGATACGCTGCTGAACTTGCACTCCACGTATTCCGCTAAGACTCGAGGGTCTATCTACAAACCTCCAACCTCTCGTTAATACCGCATCGCGTCTCATCGATCAGAACTATATCATTGGCGAATAACATACACCATGGCACCTCCCTTTGAATATGGTGTGTCATCGCTAGAGCAAATAAGAGCGGGCTGAGCGCAGATCCTTGGTGTAACCCCATAACAACCGAAAAATGCTCCGAGTTGCCCCCATAGTCCTAACACGAGTCTTAGCTCCATCATACATGTCTTTAAGACAACTTTCCAGCAAATGCCATCTTTTTCCATCTCTATTGAGTGATAGGACTGGGGAAACAAGATTCCAGTGAATCGTAAATGTTTGATTTTTCTCACATAAAGCTATTTGAATTGTAGTCATCCTAGTGAAGAGTCTACACTGCATTACTCTACTAATGCTGGTAGATAGATAGTCAGCAACTAGCTTTGCTACACCATCAACTCTCTCTTTCTTCTTCCTTTTGTTCGTGTATGTTCCAATTTTACCCGATGCTCCCCAGGAGATGCTAATCATCTCTTAACAACATTATATTTTCTTAATCCTGCTACAACGTGTGAATCACCTATTTTCCCTACTATAGCAGGTTCTAACGAAAGGCCGATTCCTAAAATGCCTTTCTGAATATTCATCAATATCCTGGATATTCACGAAACGTGAGAAGCAGATGATTAATCATCTATTTTCGGAAGAAATCGAAGAATTTCGTGGGAATCCTACAAGATTCATTCGTTCTTTTTTCTCTGATACATGGTCAGAACTTCATCTGGGTGAAGCCATTCACCTTATTAGGAGACTGGTGGAGCAGCATAGGGAAAGGAAGGACTTACAAATGGTGTTCACTGACCTAGTACGGCAAAGTTTCGAGGGAGGTTCTTTGGAGATTCTTGGAGGTTAGAGGTGTGCCCGTCGCAAATACTAGGGTGATCCAGGATATGTATGATGGCGTTAAGACTCGGGTTAGGACGGTGGGAGGAGCTCGGAACACTTCCCTGTTAGGATGGGCTTGCATCAAGGATCCGTGCTTAACCCGTTTTTATTTGTCTTGGTGATGGATGTTCTGACGGGGCACATTCAAGAGCAGGTGCTTTGCGGACGACACAGTACTGATTGATGAGACGCGGGGTGGTGTTAACACGAGGCTGGTGGTTTGGAGATAGACCTTGGTGTCAAAAGGTTTCAAAATGAGCAGGGCCAAAACAGAATACTTAGAATGCAAGTTTAGCGACGTGACTCATGATGCGGATGTGGAAGTCAGGCTGGATTTAGACCTATCTGTTATATGGGGTAGAGTGTTGGCCTGTTAGGAACATCCACGTCCAGAAGATGAGAGTAGCAGAAATGAGGATGCTGAGATGGATGTGTGCGCATGCCAGGTTAGATAAGATAAGTAATGTTGATATTCGGGACAAGGTGGGAGTGGCCCTCGTGGAGGACAAGATGAGGGAAGCTAGGTTGAGATGATGCAGGCATGTGAAGAGGAGGTGCATTGATGCCCAATGAGGAGGTGTGAGAGGTTGGCAATGTGGGGGAGGGTTGATGAGAGGTAGAGGTAGGCTTAAAAAGTATTGAGGAGAGATGATTAGGCATGACATGACACTACTCCAACTTACTGAGGACATGACCTTTGATAGGAGGGTATGGAGGTTGAGAATTAGGGTAGAAGGGTAGTGGTTACGCGGGCGTGTCTCATTTTCATGCCGATAACATTAGTATTAGTCTTGCATTTTCGTTTCTTCGTATCCGCAGATTTCTTTAACTATATGTTGCCTCTATCTCTTCGATTTTATATCACATTTGCTTGCTATGACCACTATTTGTTGTTTCTGCTTCTTTTTAGTTATTTTCCTTGAGCCAGGGGTCTATTGGAAACAACCTCTCTACCTTCGTAAGGTAGGGGGTAAGGTCGGCGTACACTATACCCTCCCAAAACCCAACTTTGTGGGATTACACTGGGTTTTTTGTTGTTGTTGTTCTTGTTAAGCAGGTTCTAACGAAATATCCCATGGCTGCAGTTTGCCATTTTTCCAGCCTCAAACCAACCCTTCTCTGTTGTCATTGCTGTCGATGTTGCTTCTATGCAACCCATTCCCATGATCTAGTCCCACGTCCTATCTTCCCTGGCTGCAGCTGCTCTATCATTGTTCTATTTGGCGTCAGGGATGACTACCATATGCCCATCCCTCCTTCCTCCGCATATCTGACAGGGGCTATTTCCAGATTGCTAGAAGGATACAGATTTGTTCTGTCTAAATTTTTTTCAACTTGCAATTATTTCATTTTTGTAGTTTTCCCCTTATTTATATTTTGCTTGCAATTTATGTTAACTAGTTCCTGAAGAAGAATCGGTAGGATTTTCTTTATTGATAAATCTTTTCCTGGTTTGAAAATATTGTGCTACTATTTTTTTTAGGGGTAAGGTTTGCGTACACTTTACCCTTCCCAGACCCCACTAGTGGGATCATACTGGGTTGTTGTTGTTGTTTTACATCGTATCTCGATTGAGAAAAAGAATGTTGGTGACTTGGTTCTGAAAAAGAAACAAAAAAAGTCGACAAAGATAGAGTTGGGGTTAGGCAATCACTTGTTAATAACTTTTTTAAAAGGGCAGTCCGATGCACAAAGCATCCTGCATTCACGCAGGGTCTGAGGAAGGAAAGAAAATCTTAATGCCTAAGATATTGGAAGGAAGAAATTAATCACGTCGCATATCAGACAATAGACAAGATCATTATTCTTTTTGGATATATAATAACTAGATTATTATAAGGACAATGAAAACCATGTGCCCGAGAAAAGGTTCCCTATTTGACTCTTAATCCGTTCCATATTATCCAATCTTGAGTGATAGCAATCCTCAGATATCGCATTTTCTATCAAACAAACCCTTTGTTTATAGAGTAGATTCACAAGCTTGCTTAAAGAAATCAAATGAACCGTTTCTAAGCACTCAGGAACGGAGGCAGAGAAGAATAATATCCTCACTAATGTATGAACTTATATGATAAGACATGTCAAAAGGATATAACCAGGTAAGTACTAACCATCTGGTTTGTTAATTCCCATACCAAATGCCACCTGAAAAAGAAAAGAACTTCTACATATGATGATTGTCATTTGAAAATTAGAAGAAATCAGGGAACTTCATGATACATACCGTACCAACAATCACCTGCAACTTTCCACTACTCCACCTATGACATCACATATAATACTTATTGAATTAGAATAAGATTTTACAATTAAGAAATTGATACCATGAACTATAACCATGCAGCTAAAATAGTAGAATAAAATCACTATTTGGCAGCTAATAATAAGAAATATCTTCAATGTGTAGTAATTTTGGGAAAACTATTTGGTAGATCATTTTCCAGAGATTGGTTGGGTGTAAAGGTAGGTAACTGATGGTAATAGCAGAAGGTGGGGATGGGCATGAGGTGATCTCTTCGTGATAATTTTGTGTACTAAAAGCCATGTATTATTTGAAATAACAGTAGAAAGTGGGGGTGTAACATGGCATGAAGTCTCGGTGATAATTCTGAATACTAAGAATAACAACAGTGTTTTATGTGTTATTTGAAACAAATGAAATAGAGTAACAATTGAGATATTTATAAAGGAAAATGACATAAACCATCTACGAGGTAAGTTATTTTCCCCTAAATGTTCACAATGATAGAAGGCATTAAACAAAAAATGATCTCATCAAGCAAAACATTTTACAACAAACTATACACATCATAAGAGGAAAAAAAGAAACAAGATTTTTAAGTAAGACATGAAGAGCACACAAAGGACTGACAAGATGTCCTTAAGCGACAAAGTCAAAACATAAAGAACAAAAAAGAAACTCTTAACAATAAAAATAAATAAAAAACTCTTAACAAGTAGTGCTTCGTGATCCCCATAGCAAAGCCTAAATGTCATGAACAGAAACTAGAAGCTTACTTTACCACAAAATAATCCAACAGCCAGCTCTCGAGCAAAATAACTATCGAATGCACAGAAAGCACATTAACATCAAATGTCACCTACGTTAGGACTACAAAGACGCAGAACTTTGTGAGAAGTGAGAACTCACTCACTCGGAGCACACTTCCATGGTGAACAAGATACAAACTAGTGCTGTGCCTTTTTAGAGTTTGGACATGCATGATGTGCTTTTAGATGCCATGGGAGTAAAATGTAAATTAGATATCTAAAGGCATTAGCTTAAGAACATGTCCAAATTCCAAAAGATAACTTTGAGCAGGAAGTTTTTCAACAAGAAAAAGCAAATCAATAGTCACCAACTGTACTAATTACCCGAAATGCAAGGTAGGGGTAAGGTCTGCGTACACACTACCCTCTCCAGACCCCACTTGTGGGATTACACTGGGTTTGTTGTTGTTGCAAACTTCACCTAATTTGGAGGCGAAGAGGATTCTTATTCAACTCAGAAAGGATTCTTATAATGTGGGAGGAAGTCTATGAGGTGACTAGTCTATTACAACATGTGACATCTGTGACATTGAGTCTAACTCAACTCGAAAAGTTAGCTGATATGACGATTGCCAAGATGATATAAGGAGACAATAACCCATTCTCTAAGTCATTGTAGACATTCTAACCTCTTATTCTTCTCTCGCATGCTCAGGGTTGGACATCTAGAGCATAGATAGTATAACACAACGGTCCAACATTGCATAACCCAAGAACAAGCATAGGTCTGACTTTAATATCATGTTATACTATGTTACGAGAATGGACCCTTTAGCCTAGTTCAAATTCATAAACTAGCTTATAAGGTGAGAATTACCGAACATCATATAAGGAGACAATAGCCCATTCCTTCAGCCAATGTGGGACATTCTAACAATGTAAAGAAAATGGACTTTGTCCTAGCTCAACTTTAAGGCTCATGAGGTGAGAGATTACCCGAGACCATATGAGGAGACAACAAAACTATGCTCAACTATGCTCTGAATCAACATGCGACACTTAACACCTCTGCACACCTAGAACTAGACATCTGAAGCGTGGATAACATAACATTAGGCCCAACATTACGTAAACCGAAAATATGGATAGGCCTAGCTCTGATACATGTTAAGTAAATGAACTTTGGGCCTACCTAAACCTTAAAAATCATCGGGTGAGATTGCACAAGACCATATAACGCATTCCCTCAACTAATGTGGATACTTAACTGTTGAAGTGTATAATCATCTAATCCAAAAGCTTAAGCTGTTAGAGATAGTAGAACTTTATTTACTTAATTACATCTTCAGCATCTCCCCTTACGTGGCCTGTTTTAATGGGCAAACACATGGAAGTTCTTTTTGATCATGGTGGTAGTGAAACTCGAACTCAAGACCTCTGCCTTCTCTGATATCATGTTGAATTGTTGATACCATGTTAAAGTGTATGATCATCTCATCTAAAAGCTTAAGCTGTCAGAGAGGGTGCATTTTTATTTACTTAACTATTTCTACAGTATTACAATATCCATCTTGAAGAAATGACACCAACTCTAAGAAATATGTCTATCCTGCCTTTACAAGCACCTGATATTATGCTAACAGTAATAAAAATATTCTTAGTGGTTATAAGTGCTTATTTAGCTTTGCTATTAAGTAGAACCATGTGAAAATATAAGAAGTAAGATTGGGAGAATTCCTTATACAAGTGTCTTAGGAGCTTACAGATAAGTTTAAAAAAAGAAAAATAATTATCTTTGAGGGGGGGATCAATATGTTTAATTTAGCATATTCTAACATTCCAAAACTCTCCTAAAATCCCAAAAATGAGAATTTACCTTTGCAAAGAAAAGAAAAAAGAAAAATGAAGCATAGAATCTTAAGTGGAAGTAATGGTTTAATATGCTACAACTTATGATTAACAGTAGTTTAATATTGCTGAAACTATAAAACAATATCAGAGTAGTGAGAAACAACGAGACAGGAGAGAGAGGTATGTTACTGCCAGAATGATCACCAGAAAGAGGCATAGTAGCGGAACAATCGGCTTTAACAGCCATGAAAAGGAGGAATGGTGCTGCAAGAACAATCCTTAGAAAGAGACAAGGTGCTGCTGCAACAGCCACCAAACAAATACTGAAAATAGACACCTAGCTGTTGGATGGTGTTGGATGGTGTTGGATGGTCAGCAGGAAGAGATTTAGGATAGCAAATGGAATCTTGAATAAGAACTTTTGGCTAGTAAGCCACCCGGCATAAGTGAACAATTAAATCTCCACCAACACTATAAAGGCTCTGATACCATGTGATAAAATAATAGAAAAGATTGAGAGAATGCATGGACAAATGTCTTATCCTTGTGAGGCTTTATAGATAACTGACAAAGTATAATACTTTCTTCCAATGTGGGACATCAAATGTAATACGACATAATCTGCCAATTAAAGGAACTCCAGTTAAAAGAACTGTCTTCGAATAATACGTGCCCATAGACATATACATCTCATATAATGAGAGGAGCAGTCATATCTTGCTGGACATACTTGATATATGGCTGTAGATGACTGAGATTGAGTCATACACAGCTTGTACATAACTTTTTTAACACCTACTTGGTGTTTTTTTTTTTTTTTTTGAGAAAGACACCTACTTGGTGTTTTCTTAATCAAATCTTTTGACTTGTTGAAGTGTGCGGCCATCTCGTCGAAAGCCTAATCTGTTTCAGAGAACACACTATTATTAATTAATTTTGCATGCAACACGCTCCCTCACGTGCAGGTCTCATGGCCAAGCACATGGAATTCATTTTGGTAATAATTGACAGTGAGATTCGAACCCAGGACCTTTGTTTGCTCCGATACCATGTTGAAGTGTACGACCATCTCATCTAAAAGCTTAAGTTGTTGAAGAGAACACATTTTTATTTATTTAATTTGCTGATTCACACAGCACAAGAGTCCATGACATGATAGAAAAAAAAAAGGAAAAGGAAAATCTCTAAAAAGGTACAATAAAGCATCTGTTTGCGAAGACACTATTCATGAATAATTACAGTAAAAAGCTAGTTGTATATATAGAATGAGCCGACAGAAATATCAAAGGAAAATTTTCCATACCTTAGATGTACTTTCTCACGAGCATTTACATCCATATCGGCGTGATAGTGATCAGTTGAAATTCCCCTCTCCCGCAATTCTTGTGCAACCTACAGTTTGTGACCAAATAAGAAGGTGAAACAAAAGTTTGAGATGTAAAACAATAAGAGCTGCCAGACCAATCAAAAAGATAATGAGCTCAGAATGTTCCAGGTTTCCGGCCTTATACTCGAACCAATAGACCTTCTGAACCAGTGATGCACCTCCGTAGAATTTTACAGTTCGTTGTGTGACCAAAACCACAATGTCTCACCAAGTGAAAACAGAACAGAATATTCCAAACTTAGCCTCATTAATCTACCGTACAGTCTATCTAAACACAATGAGAATGGAACTTGTTGCGCCTTTTTGCATAACTATGTTTTTGTGAATAACATCCCTCTTTAGCTTCTCATAAATTAAAAAACTGAAGTAAACTTCTTTACTTCTTTTAAACTTTTTGCCATTTCCACATAAAAGAGGACTGCTGGGGAAAGATTGTAACCAAATTAGGTATAAGAAGAAGGATTTGCAAGTGAAGATCCAAAGGAAGTAAGTTCCAAAAGCAAGTGCTAGAGTGTGGACAGCTAGAACGAGTTAAATTACAAGCTTAAGCAGGTTGTATAATTATTTGATTTTCTATGAGCTAAGCCCCCAACCAAACAGGATAAAATTCCAGGGAATGTACTTAATTAATATAAACAGGATAATCATAAGCATTTCAAAGGAGGAAAGCCAATTTAGATGCAAGTACATCACGAGAAAAGAACATCACAAACCCAATTCTTCTCAGACTCAAAGCATGCACCATTTCCTCGTCTTACAAGAAAAAGGTATCAAAAGAGGATGAAGAACTTTAATGTCTTGCATATTAGGCGTTGGACACAAAATATAAACCGAGCTAAACCACCTCCACCAAGGATGAATCACAAGTTCAAGATTAAATACATTATTCTTTTTTTGATAAGCAGTTAATAACATGATCCTTTCACACCTCATCCTACTGATCAAAAGAAAATCATGCATGAGCTGCATCCTTTTTGCACAACCATTAGAGATTCTGAACAAGAAATCTCACCCAACTTGAACCACCAATAATTGATCACACACAATCTGCCAACCCAGTCCAAGGGAGAAACAATAAGAGTTTTTACAGGGTGGTTTACATGCTGTGTAATTAGTTCAACTAAGCAATATCAAGATATCAAGAGTTCCCGTTAGGCACCCAAGCAGTGAACTTCTAGCACCTGAATGCCTTGTAAAACTATCCACATCCAATCAAGCACCATCACTCGTATGTGCCCGAGCACAGTGCAACACCATGTTTTCAGATACAACTAAAGCACGAGATGGAGTCTTACACAACATAGCTAGTGCTAGTACCTGTTCACACTCCTTCCTGGAGAAGCAATAAACTATCCCAGATTCATTATTTGGATATGATGTTCGAATATATTCAGCAATTTCATCAACCACTGTCTTCCCTACAGATGACTTCTCACGCACCTGCAAAAATGAATCAAATAAATTTGAAACATAAGATGCCCATTGCTGCAAAATTTATAATTGTACTTTACTTTGAGTACAGCTATACCATGTAATAAAGATTGGGTCTGTTCACTGAACTAACAAACTTAACACATCTAGGAATATGAAGCATCTCCATCAAATCATCCTGTACTTTCTTTGTTGCGGTTGCCTGGAAATAAATATTCAAGTCCAGCTGCTGCTCAGGAATTGTTAATCAACAAAGTTAAATGAATAAAGGAGGAAATTTGTTCTCTTCAAGCTATAAGAAAATACATACTGTAAGAGCAACCACAGGAACATTAGGAAACTGAGTCTTTAAAATACCAAGATTTTTGTAATCTGGACGGAAATCATGGCCCCACTGG